AATATATATATATATATTTTTATATATAATATATATATATATATATATATATATATATATATATATATATATATATATATAGTGGAAGTTGAAATATTCGTGTTTAAAAAGATCAAAACGAATAAAAATGTTCAGGATTAGACACCTGCTCGGGAATTGATATTTTTACCTTACGAATGATTTCAGTTGTCTATTAGGGGTCCCACACACAAATTTCCGTAATTGTTAGCCGTAAGACATAAACTTAAGCTGAAGAATCCAACCAAGATATTGCTTTATCTTCGCGTACTCTAGAAGAAAATATAAATAACGGTCTAACTAACTAGAACTTAGGTTGAGTAACTAGAATTTCAACCAGTTAGATTCTAGTTACTTCTACATAATAATCAGTTTCATCGTCAGTTCTATCTTCTTTTAAAGAACGCAAAGATAAAGCAATATCCTGATTAGTTCTTCAGTTTACATCTTACGTCTACGATTACGGAAATTTGTGCGCGGGATCTTTAAGTCCTGTGTTGCGTATAAGTGAGCGTAACCGTGAAATAGAAGACCTACAGTAGTTGTGCTGCGACGGCTGATCTTTTTCGCAGTTAATCGGTCTTATAGTCAAGTGCATTGCTTTACACCCGCTTGTTATATGCCTACTGCGGCAGTTCCATGTAACTGGATAAACTATTAATCGTTGGCTCGTCATGCAAAGTGTGGCACAAACTCAGCGGTACTACTATTACTACTACCACCACTACCACGAAGAACGATCGAATCGATCTTACGACGTAGCAGGCACATCTCTCCGTCACGTGCTCGCGAGGGTACGTGGGTGTTACATTACTGTTTTATTTACGGATTTTAATAAGTCATCCGGCCGGCCGCGAGGTGCAAGACCTTGATACTCATGGAAACGATATGGAGTCGCTGAAAGTCGCACTGAAATCGGTAACGCTGATCGCGCAGTGGCCGTTGCGCAACTTCTGTCGTGCGTTAAAGTTGATGACAATTCCGTCGAAAAGTGTGACATAAGCGTAAACGCGGCGCGTCATGGCGAAACAGAACGGGCGCACGCACGTGGCCGGCGCCAAATGATGACTGTGTCAAGGAGGCAGCCTGGCGTTTACTCATCCCAAAATAAAAAGCACCGGACAGCGCAGAGAAATGCAAAATAACGCTTTAACGCGCCACGAAACGAGGGGAACCTCCTCGACGCGAGAGCGTCGAGAGAAATCCCGCGCAAGACGAGAAACTAAATATACACGTGCGCATATCAGCAAGTATCGATGTTGCACGTCGCATCGTTCGCACGTCTTTCGCGCGATTACACCGAGCCGTGAATTATCGCGGACTTATTCCGGGAAAAAGAGCACCACTGAATCAACACATCAATCGCCCACGTTACATCTGTCTTTGTACAACGCAGCTCCGCCTAGCCGCGGGGAATGCATATCGACGCGGCCGAACCGACTTAATTCAGCCGGAGAAGCCTTGACTCGAGCCAGCGGCGCGACTCCCAAGAAGGGAAAAAAAACTGCCCGACCTCGTGGGAACTCACCACTGGAGAAGAAGGACGTGCTACGACCGATGCACTCGGTGGGAGGTGGCGAATTCGGCGGCACCGACGAGGAAGACGAGGCGGCGGTGGCGGAGCGGTACCTGGTGCCCTTCCAGATGACCAGCTTGCCCAACACCGTCAGTAGGGACTCCCGCAGGGTGTTGTGGCGGCTGCCGCCGCCAAGACTGCTCGACGAGTCCCTCTTCGAGCACTCGCCCACCGCCTCGACCTCGTCGGACGACGAAGCGAGGGTCAGCACCGCGTGCGACCGTTGACCACCTCCGCCGGCCGTCACCTCCAGCTGCGATTGCTGCTGCAGCTGCAGCTGCCTGCTACGCGTTTTCCGTCGTTTCTTCCGCTTCCTACGGCTACCGCCGTTACTACCACCACCACCTCCGCCGGCGACGCCGCCATCGTCGTCGTCCTCGGCCTCTTGGTTCGAGCATCTGCGGCCATCCTCGCTGCTCCTGGACGTAGACGTCGTCGTTGTCGTCGTCGCCGTCGCCGTCCTCGTTGTCGTTGTGGTCGTGATCGTGACGGCGCGACGCGCGGCATCCCCTGACTCGGCCTCGTCGCAGTCCTTCACCTTACGGTCGCGCGATATCAACGCCCACATTACCGGACACGATACGTCAAAGGACAGGTAGGAACGATCGGTCGAGGACACGCCGTTTGGCATGACAGATGCGCTTTTTTCGTGTCTACCGTTCATCATCATGGCGGAAGCGTGAATTCGAGCCGGGTGACGCGGCTGGTCTTCCGTGGGAAAAGGGTGCGAGGGCGAAGGAGCAGGACAGTCGAGAATTAACGTCGAAGTTCCCGTCTCTGGTCTAATATAATAGAGCTTCGCAAGAACTGTCTCAAGAAATTATGAACGCGTGAACTTCGTTAGGAAAAGTCGACGGTAGTCTCAAGTTGCGCCCGAATGATGCACGCGGATGGATCGCGTAACAGTAGTTCTACGGTATCCTCCAGTCTATACAGTTGGAAGGATCATTAGCCGCGGTGACTACTCATTTCAATTCTTTCCAAGTATAAAATAGGATTAAAATAGAGACGCCGCCGTCTACCTCTGCAGATCTTGTTTGTGTCGCCACTTAAAAATAAACTGGCCACTTTGGGAAGCCCCGCGACGTACGACGTCATCCCCCGCGACATTACGCTTCCACGAAAGATCTTCGTACAGACGCGAGGACATCTCGCTGCCGTGCAGAGGATGCGCCAAGTGGAACCGGGTTACCTCGATTAACTCAATCATCGAAGCTATATATATATGTGTGTCTGTGTGCACACGCAGAACGAGCACACATCAACTTCTTATCATAAACAGGCACAATATAATGAAATTGATATTAGAATCCATCCGACTTCACATGTGCGTATATCTCAACCGTGGAATAAACCGCGTCCCCGCGATATATCCGCTCCTCGTGTACGTTGACATCGATTGTGCACGCCGAGTGTACTACTTGCCGGCGATTCATCCGCGTGTGGGCTGTACAATAAAATAAAAAAAAAGACCAGTCCCCCCAAAGATCACGGGTGCTTTTTGCAATGCGTTTCTTTTTTGTTTTGTAAAGTTGTACCATATTGAAATTGTAATACAGGTGCACTAGAAAAAGCAAACTTGGTGATCTACTTATGTACGATATAAAAAAAGACCAGTCCCCCCAAAGATCACCGGTGCTTTTTGCGATGCGTTTTTTTTTTGTTTTGTAAAGTTGTACCATATTGAAATTGTAATACAGGTGCATTAGAAAAAGCAAACTTGGTGATCTACTTATATACGATATAAAAAAAGACCAGTCCCCCCAAAGATCACGGGTGCTTTTTGCGATGCGTTTTTTTTTTTGTTTTGTAAAGTTGTACCATATTGAAATTGTAATACAGGTGCACTAGAAAAAGCAAACTTGGTGATCTACTTATATACGATATAAAAAAAAAACAGTTCCCCCAAAGATCACGAGTGCTCTAGAAAACGCGTGAAAAGCAGCGGTGGTGCGTACGCGTATAGATCGCGTGGTGTGAAAACGTGTCACGGACAAAGCGAGTCGTGACTTTTTCCGGTACTCGCGATAAAGCTTCAGCATGTCGATGGACGTAAAGCTGAACGTCTATAGGAGTTTTATTGGGTTATAAGCCGCGACCGTATAGTGCCGCGTTTGATTTTTTCTCCTCTCCTCTCGGATGACGCGCGCGCGCGAAAAAGTATTTACCAAAGTCTGCGTCGGTGAGCGCGCCACGATGCACACGAAACACCCAAGTGGATCGTTCGAATGTGAACAGTTGCAGAGAACGAACGCGTGAGAGAAATGCTTATCATCGCGTGCGTTGCGCGCGATTTCTCGCGCCTAGCGTATTTTTCTCGCGACATCCGAGTAGATCGAATCATGTTTACTTCCGACCTATTATTGCTCATTCTCTCTATTCTCTGTCTTATTTTATTTTACTGTTTGCAATTTCCTACGTGTTTTGTATAGCACCAAGTTTCCGTTCACAATTGAAAGGTCTCCCGCCGCTCGTATCTCTTCATATTTTCATTCTACACGGCGAGAAAATACTGGAGTACAACAAAATTCTTATAATCTACACAAAATTACGACCAAAATTGCTGTATATTTGCTTAAAAAAATTATTATTATATTATTATGTTATGCACGTGTGGCTTTTGCTACAAAATTATTATAATTGTTTGAATATTTTTTTTTATATCGTATATAAGTAGATCACCAAGTTTGCTTTTTCTAGTGCACCTGTATTACAATTTTAATATGGTACAACTTTATAAAACAAAAAAAAACGCATCGCAAAAAGAAATATAATTTTTGCTATAATATCTTCTCCGTATACGAATATTCAAATCCCGACTAAAATAATAATTGAGAAACATGTACGGAGCTTGCTTGACCAAACTGTACGAAAATTCGACTGACTGGCTCAATTGCTCCGATTTATTCTTGCAAGCTGGTTTCAAGCTACACGCGATGGCAATTCCACGTGCAACGAGATTGAACTTGCGTTCGGGAGTGTCACCGATATCGCGAGACTTTACCGACAGAAGCCGAATTTGAAAATTAGGTAGAAGGCAGAAAGACAGACAGAGAGAGAAAATATACGGGCAGCTCGAAAGTTGCCGGGAATCGAACCCGTGACCTCTCGCTTGCTGAGCGACTGCTCTACCAACCAAGCCATCCACAGCTATCCATATACCCAAGAAGGAATTACTGGCATCAAAGTGACTCCAGTACCAATTTATGATAAACGTTACTGGCATAGTATCAAGTGCCAGTACGGGTTTAGTATTGGTATGATACTAGGATGATAGAAAAGGGTCAGTATCGGAAAACAATACTGTCATAGTACCGAAAATCAGTGTACCAATCACTGTACAAATCACTGTACCAATATAAAAAAAAGTATTGATTCCTAGCACTGGAGAAATATCTATCCCCAGTACTGGGCCAGTATCGATTCTTAGTCATTTTTATTATTTGTACAATTGTTAATATCACAACTATATAGTACGGAAAGAAAGATCAGACCATGGCCGGGCGCTGCTCTCGTTTATACCTATACATGTCTATTATTAATAGTCATATGAGGAAAAAATCTTCAGGACGACGGCTGGAATCGAAGTCTTCCGCTTGTCAGGCAAGCGTTCTTACCACCATTAGTGACCTCTTCCGTTTTCTCATAAAGGATATTGGTATCGTCTGTTTTTCGTTACAATTACTGGCCCAATATCCTCTATTGGCAGATTGTATACGATTAATTTGTAATACTGACCCAGTACCGAAAACGACAAACACTTTTCGGTAACGCTCCTGTACATGTACGGTACGACTATCCAGTAGCCAACCTTAGTACGGAGCCAGTACCAATAATAGAGTTTTCTTTATATTAGGCCCAGTACTGAGCCAGTACTGGACATCTCCTTTCAGTATCGACCCAGTATCGGGCCATTTTCCCGTACTGGCGAAACGTATACGATTCCTACTTGGGTATATATATCTGTCCAATATATCTGTCTTTCTTTCTTTCCCTTTTTCTGCTCTCTTTTATATTAATGATCATTCTTCCACCGCCTTTAACCGCCTACAATTGTATTACGCATAATTATTGCATTAAGTTTCGTCAAGATTTGCGGGATTCTGTTCGCGTTGAAACGTTTAAGGTACTTCGAGCGGATATATCGGTCGAAGCTAATCAATTATTGTGCCACGTCGATTGAAAGCTCGTTCTCACTAGTCGACAAATATGACTGACCCGACTGTTCAATATGAATAACATGATGTGATAGGGATGTGAAGTGGACGAGGGTGTGAGGAAATACGTCCGCGTTAATTGAAATACCTCGGAAGATCGGTGTTTCCGCGATAATACCTCGATTCGCGCGCTGACAAAGTCACGTTCAAAGCGCATTACTTGTCAAACGGCACGCGGGCCAGCGAACGGAAGTCCATTGCATAGTATCGAGAGTTGCGTAACTCCTCAGCCTTGGCGTTGTATACTCGGGAAGCTAAATCACCCCTCCGACGAATACAATAGTATCAGTGATCACTTGATACCGCGTGAAAAATCTCCTACGCGCTGCGCACATTGCAATCAGATTGCGTGTGAATGCCGGATTTTATTCGTGTAATATGCTTGTGATGTTATCGCAGAATTAGAACGCTTTACATCGCGAGAATTTGCAAGAATCTCTTTTCGCCGTTATTCAAGAACGCAGCTTATGCCAAAACACTGGAAAAGACGTGCTTAACTTCTTAGCGTACTTCTCTTACCACGTTACGTAACAAGTTGCTACAACCACGCGAATAATTACATCCAATGATGTAATTATTACTAGATGCTGAGATCATGTAATCACGATGTTATCCTTGCGATAATGCAAACTTTGATGACAACGTATGAGATAGCGTATCTTGATAAAAAACCATCTTGCATCTTTCTTACGCAATTGATAACTGTTGAATAACAAAAGACGCGTTAATTTGCTTAATTTCTCGCATGACCAATATAATATTGAAGAAGACATCAAGATTCGTCAACTCGTCAAAATTGTGGGATCATCTCCAAGTATCAGAAAAGAGATATTTTTAATCGAGTAGTCCAGAGCAATGACAGGCTTGCACGTAACTTGATACAAGTTTGAGAAAATAGCAAGAGGTTAAGCAATCATTTCATCCGGATGGACACGCGAAATGAAACGCCGCGATCGCCTCGACGATCGCGAGTGCGTCCCCGAGTCGAAATTTTAGCCTCACTTTCGACCTGGACTTTCTAACGTCTGTATATTCCGAAGGATCAGCGTGAAGGGTCGTTTTATTCGCATGAAAGCTGCAGTCCTACTCAGCGCATCTAAATGTCAGAAAATGCATAAAATGCCACTTGCAGGTTCTAAAGAGGATCTCGGTGAAATCGAATCGAAAGAGCAATCGATGTACGCTTCGTATCAAAGCGGACGTTAAGTGGAATATTGAAATTGAAAGGACGATCCAAATTTCGACTCGGGTCCTCTTATCTTCTCGCTAACGCAGGAGATAATTGCGAGTCCTGGCCGCGAGACTTCCGTTCGTCGCGTCCTCGAGAGGGGCTGAGGACTCACCTCGAAGACCTCGAGTTCCAGCGTGTCGACCTCGACGCTCATCGTCTATCCTACGCAAACTATAAACCCTCTATAAGGCCAACCTCTTCTGCCACGTGGCACCTGAGCCGCGCCGGCGGCGAGACGACCTCGTCTCTCCCGCGCGCTGCGCCTCTTACATAGTTCCACCTGGGGCCCACCACCGTCTCGTCCTCGCGGATCATCGCGGGACCGCATTAGTCCGCCAGCTGGCCCCTCGCGATCCTAATTCCGCTCCCGGCCGCCGCACCACCACCGTTTCCACTCGACTGCCTCTCGTTCTGGCGACCCTGTTGTCGTCCGATCGACATTCTCCCGGTACGATCCCACCACCAACCACTCGACACCCCGCGATGTGTACGTTTCTTTCTCTCTTTCTTTCTCTCTCTCTCCCTCTCTCTTTCTCTGTCTGTTTTTTCCTGCTCACTCGCAGTAGAGCGCGATTGTCCGTCCTCGCGAGGAAGCTCTTCAGGGAATTCCGCCGAGACCTTTCGGCTCTTCGTGAGCGTCGCAGAAATTTCGACTCGTGGAAATCTCGACCGTTCCTGACACGGGAGACGACCTCCTCTTTGCCGCGACGATGTCTCGGAGGAGCATCTCAGGTTCTCACACTTCTCCTGGGCGCGGATCGCTGCGCCTGTGTGCGCGAGCGCTCCTGAAAGTAAACCGACGACTGTTGATGGAGATCGTGCGCGCGGTAGAAGATCGGAATGAAGATCGGATTATTCGCAACTCGACTCGACGTACCGACTATCGTCCCTTGTGGTCTGTCTTTAGAAATGTTTGAGGTAGAGCTAATGAGAAGGTACGAGAGAGAGAGAGAGAGAGAGAGAGAGAAAGGGAGAGAGAAAGAGAGAAAGGGAGAGACAAAGAGAAAGAGGGAGAATTATAGCTAGACGGAATTCAATAGTTTATCATTGATTAGCAAACTATTGTAACTTCTCGTGAAGATATGTTTGTATCAATATGTTTGTTTCAATCGACAAACCATGTTTTGATATAGTTAGTCGATAAAAATTAACTCGCAAATCATACATTTTTATTTGTCGTACAACCTTGGAACTGTGAAGTCTAATTCAGGAACGCAACACGTCGCCACGCGCAAGAAAAAAAGGAACGACATTATCATTATTATTATCATCTTCGCTCTCCTTACATGCGGTAATGCGATTTATTTATGGTTAAGCGAGTTATCTAACTCGCTGTTGTTATCGAGAATGCAGGAAAACTGTGGGATCTGCTCAGAGATTGCAGAATATTTATCTAAGACTCGGTGATATCTTAATGCCTAAGCATCCGGTTGGAGAGAGAGAGCCCATTACTGCCATTACTCTGACACTAATATAAATTCCTATAATACTATCGAGAATGAAATAAGTTCTCTCCTGTGATGAGCGAACACTGCGGAGTATCTACAAAAATTGATCGTTCTGCAACCAGCAAAGTATGCCAGAATTGCAGATTTCTCGGACTAATCGTGCATTTGCAGACGAGAGAGAAAATAAGAAACGTCACAAAATCGCGCAACAGCTATTTTGCAAATTTATTGGGCAGATGTGAGAAACAAAATGATCGATAAACTTATCAATAGCCACGAAGAGAGGACGAGTGTATGTGGATAAGGTAGACGGGATAGACAAATTACATTAATCACACGGCCACTTAAAAATACAGGCACCCTGCGCCCCGCCCGCATCTGACACGCACACACGCACCGTCCATCGGACTATTCTCAGGCTCCAAAGTAGATGTTTCCCATCCTCGAAAACATGTCATAGAAAAAGATTGCAGCAATGCACACTTATCCACCCACGTGTACGCTTACTATCGCGTTAGTGTGTCGGTATGTCACCGGAGACGTCGTTCAACTCGCAACAGGCGGACGACGTCGTATCCTGTTTTCCCGTCCCGCTAATACCAGGTAAGTCAGCTCTTATGCCTGCAGTATTTATGCATAAATAACAATTGGCCGCTCGAAAGCAGCGCACTCGTTCCGCTTCCAGGCCAGAATGACCTATCGGTGGAGCAATAAAACGGCACAATTGTACATTACGAAATGCAGCTGCACTTCCGTCTTGCTTGAGCATCGCGATTAATGGAAGCGTGAAAGACGAAAAACCCGAGTCCCGTCGCATTCTTCGCGAGAGGGAGAGAGAGAAAAAAGAAGTGATATTTTACCGCAAAATGTCAAAATGAACAAAGACTCGAGAGAGTGACTCTTCATTAGCTTTTAGCTCTTCGTTAAAACTTCACATTTCAGAAATCTATCCAACCTTGTCCAGAAGGCAAGGTTGCTCCTATCGACGCATATTTAATCAGTCGAACGACGAAACGAATTATTACGCTTTCCAGAAGCCTTATGTGTTTGAACCAGCTGTTATCTATCAATTCTTTCACCACTTTGGAACGCCGTAGCGTTATGTGCCATATTAGAAAGCTTACAGTCGAGGTCGTTCCATATAATATATCCGGATTTTATCGCGTTCTGATTTCATATTCTGGACAATAAACTAATTTGCATGATTGCAATTTATGTAAATTGCATATATATTGTATCATGCATTATGTTGGTATAAGTTAGAATTTATGTAAACGATATGCTAACGCGCCCGCCGCAGTAAAATTTATAAGTCCGAATATGACGAATTGACAGGTCCTGCGAGCCGAGCATCGAGTCGCTGTCGAGAGAGCGAGAGCGCACACTCTCTTCGCGAGTGAGTGCACGCGTACTCGGTCGAATGCGGAGAGTAGATCCTTCGAGAGCAGCGTTCAGCACGCGCTTCGCCGCGTCCTTGATCCCGCATACTAGGGTGATGTCATCGTTCGCCCAAGCCGCCTCTGTTCTCGTCTAGCAAGCGAAAATATCCGGGCTTCCTCCCGAAATAATGGCGAACAGAGCCCTTGCGAGCGCGCGCTATCCGCCGAGTCGAGAGACTCTACCAAGCATTTCAGCGAACCCATCCGTCGATCGCTCGAAACGCGGTATTACTGTAGAAGGGGCTGTTACGTAAGATGTAATGGTGCTCAACCAGGAAACTATTTTCCGCCGCGCGGAACTATCGATGGAAACAGCGTCCTCTAATTTTGTCGCACGCGACGTATCAGTCACGTAATCATGCACCGCAAAGCTACAATGAGGAATCTGATGCGTCAAAGGACTTGTTTCCATTCTTCGACAATCAATTGTTTACTCGATCATTCGAACAAAATTTT